GCTTAGGGTTTCAGGTTTAGGGTAACCCTAAGCTCCAAATCCTAAACCCTAGGGAGTCAGGGATCGCAAGGCTCGAAAATTCAGAGGGCGGCAGCTTCAAAGTTTAGGGGTCTGGGGTCCTGGGTTTCATGGTTTTGAAAGCTTTGAAAATGGGTTGTGTAAAGCTCTAAAGACTCTAAAGTTTCAGGTTTGAGGCTAAATTTGGCGTAGGGCCTCGGAATGATGATATCAAAGGTGGTGATGAATGCGAGGGTCAGTAAAGGCGTAGTGGGGAGTAGTGTGGAAGCGAGGGGTTTTAAAGATTTCAAGGCTCATATGACTGCACGACTGCGGTGTGACGATTGCAGAGTGCGGATTTTGAAGTCTACAGAGAGCTACGGATTACAACAGTGGTTCGCAAAGACAATTATGAAGCTGAGGATGCTGTGCCTAAGGCTTGTTGTATCTTTGTTGCAATGCAGTGTGTGTGTGTGTGTGTGCAACTCATTTTTGTGGGTTTGTTTGAGGCGAAAATCTGACGAGTCACTTTTCTCACAACCATCTGCATAAGCCCTATGTACGCGGTTCTCACATATATCTACATAAGCCCTACCAGGTGCATAAACGCTGCACAGCTATCGCAAACAGTTGTCGCAAATAGTCTCCCTGCAAACGCACGGCATCCAACTTGCAACACGTAGCAGAAAGACAACACGAGCAAGACTATGCAGAAAAGGTGGATATTAGCTTTTGGAGACTATGGTGCCTGTGTACCATTCAGCTTATGAATCTCTTGTCGCGCTGCCGTTGCCTTCCAGACGTCGTGTGCACTCCATCACAAGAAAAAGCCGCCAGACAGCTAAAGTCTCAGACAGAAGCTGCGAATAAAGATTGCAATTTACGGCTTTGGGTGTTAGGTAACATCTATGATATCTTATGAACCTCCAACACTCCAAACCTTGCAAAAATCACCAGCACTCCCCCAACAAAACGGTCCTTCTAAACAACATGTCGTTTGTTCTCGAAATGAGGGTCCCTTTTGGGGTCCTTGTCACAAGGATGGGACCTTAAACGGGATCCTAATTCAGAGAACTACCCCTTTATATTATAGAACCATTATAGTACCCTTATGGAACCCTTACAGATCCCTTCAAGGAGCCCCTAATTTAAAATGGACCCAAAGTCAGAGAAGTACCCATGTCTCGGCCAGGAGGCTCGTAATCACGTAGGCCCGCCAGAATCTCCCCATCGAAGACGTTCGTCATCTCCGTATCCTTCAAACCGGAGTTCGGTCAGTGCAACCGCTAAGTCATGTGTTAACGGCTGCCGGATTTGTACACATATTTTTTTGACGGCCACGCAATTGTGGAATGGTATTATCTTGAGAGCATGTACCCACTTTCGGCAGCATTCGCCAAGTCCTCGAAATCCGACAAGCGGTGGTCGTATGTTCGCACCTGCAGCTGCCGAACGCAGGTGCTGCCGCGTCTTTATGCTTGTACATTCTGAAGGATGTTTCTGGGAGTTTCGGCGTGGCTAGACATGGTCTTCGTCTGTACTGTATCTCAATGCTTCACAGAAGTATCATAATCGAGGCATCTATGTGCACTAGTGTTGTTCTGCTTTCGGTTCTGGTTTTGGTGTTCTTAGGGCAAATGTCAATGTTGCTACCGTCGTTGTGACTGCAGTTGTTTGTCTGTTTGTGGTGGATATTGTGGATGCGGCTGCTGCTGTTGCCGTTGCCGTTGCTGCTTGAAACGTTGGCTGCTACGTTTGTTATTGCTGTTGTTGCCATCCTTGTCGTTGTTGTTGTTGTTGCCAAGGTGCATACACGTTCATGTAAAGGTGTGCGCCCATATACACACATGAAGAAAACTGCATCTGGTTAGTGCCTTGAGTTCTAAGAAAAGAAAGCTGTGTAGGTAAGCACAAACAGAACCTAAGAATCCGAAACGCTAATCAAAACTCAAAACCCTGAACCTTAAGCCTGTAGACTCTAAGGCTCATAAAACCTACAAGCCCTGAACCCTCGACCTTAAACTACAAGCCCTAAACCCCTATAGTAGAAAACTTATAAGCCCTAAACTTTCAACCTTAAACTCTAACCCTAAACCCTAAACCCTAAACATCCCTAAAACCCTAAACCCTATAGCCCCTAACCCCTAAACATCCCTAAACCCTAAAACCCTAAAACCCGAAGCCCTGAACCCCTCTGGGCCCCCAAGGGCCTTCGACTCTAGGTCGGCCTCCAGCTCTTTCAGATCCGTTAACAAGGCCTCAAGCTCCGACTGGACCTGGGCTCTTGTTTAGGGGCTTTAGGGTTTAGGGTTTAGGGGTTTAGGGTGGGCACTTTTTTCCAGGACTTTGGGAAGATGAGGGGGCCGGAATAATTGGGATAGGGAATTGGGGTATAGAAAACTATAGTTTCTTATCATAATATGACATGACATCCATTCCGACTCCTGTGTGAAACTTTACTGTCTGGAGTTTGATGGGGGCGACATGCCCCAACAAATTCTAGCTGCAGGACAACCATCGTGTCGGCGAAAGCTTGTGTGCTGCTTGTGGTGTCCTGGCCGCCACAGTGCCGGTATGGTTGCGCATGGACGGTGTTAGAGGTCGTGACTGCCATGTCTTCTGTTTCCTTGTAGGGGCCGTCACCGTCGGTGCTTACACCTCGGGTTTCCTTGGTTGGTACACCTAAGCGACTATGACAGTGCAGCGAGGAAGCGGTGCTGAACGCATTGTCGTGGTCGACGTCGTCAGTCAAAACCACGGTAGCCTGCGTAAGACGCTATAGAAACAGGTGATGTCTATTCCATGAATCTACGCAACGGGCCCGCAATGTGACCCCTTAATTGAATCCTCTGTTCGTCGCTAATGAAAGCCTGTTATGTATCTCACATGGCATGGTTAGCAGCTTCCGGGCAAGTCCAGGACGAGACGGCAAGCTCCGGCTAGTCTCCGGTTCTCTATTCGATAACTTGAGCTGCACCTGTAAATTGCACCCACCCATCATGAGGGAGCCCTGCTGTCGAAACTGAACCTTATGCTAGCAGATTAGGTTGTTCTCAGCATGGCTATAATTAGATAAGGACTACAACCTGCATGTGGTGACCTATGCTCCCACTTCAGAGTCTATGTTAGTGATAAGCACCTACAGTGACACCGTAAAGTCCGGACTGACTTTACAACATGAAGTGTGCTATAATGGACCGACAACCCTCTTCGAAAAAAATAGGCCCCTTCATATACTATTCATCCCGTTTTAAATGACTTAATGAGACTGCTTCGGCTGGCCTCTGGGTCCATCTCCGCTTCCTTCGGGGGCACAGTCATCCCTTTTTAAATGACTTCGTGAGACTGCTTCGGCTGGCCTCTGGGTCCATCTCCGACTCCTTCGGGGGTACAGTCAGTAGCGCTTTAGGGCCTGAACCTATGTTTTTAAGGCGAAAGAAGGTCTTTAGAGGCTTAGGACTGGGGCCCAGAGATCGAATCTTCTGTCCTGGTATTCTCGGTCCGGGAGTTGTTGACTTCAGTATCATGCCAAGGCGTCTATTTTCATAAAAGCACACGGCACGCTTGGATGGAAACTTTGCATGCACAAAGAGGCCAACCCCGTTCAGCATGATGGGCATCGTAGTTGGCAAGCTGGCCAGCATGGTTCATCATAGTTCTCAAACTGAAGTGTCGTGCAGCAATCGGCCCTTTTTGATTGGTGGGTTCATTCGGTTCTTGGCCGGTTTCATGGGTTTCATAAGCTTGGTGTGGGAATGTACAGAGTTGTAGTGGGTTCGATGTCTATAGCAAGTGCTTCCAAACATACTGAAAGAACGAAGGGTCCGCAATGCCTGCAGGGTTCAATTCCAGGCTGCTGCTCTTCGTGCTGTGACAAGACAAACCAACAAACGACATGATGATGATGAGGAGGAGGAAGAAGAGCAGAATGATGATGATGATGATGGTGCTGATGATGACGATGAGGATGGTGATGATGGTGACGCCGACGATGATGATATTGACGATGACGATGGTGATGATGGTGATGCCGACGATGATGATATTGATGATGATGATGATGATGACGACAAGAAATCCTTTCAATTTGGCCGTGGTTAAGGCCCCCAACCCTTGAATCCTGAACCCTAGATCCTCTGTCCTCCGGTAGCTCCGTCTCCAAAGGAGCCAGAGGGACGCCGTCGAACCTCATGTGAAGACTGCTTCAAGTTAGCATTCCCTTTTATGTTTTTTGTTTTGCCTTCCTGACTTCTAGTAGACCCTTGCATATCCAGCACTGTGTGGCAGTGCATCGTTTGTCTTCGCCCACCACACGAGAACCTCCTAGCCCCAAATTGACTACTCGAGTCGATGCCAAGGGCTTGCGATACCCTCCCGAAACTATGCATCATATAGATAGATAGATAGATAGATAGATAGATAGATAGATAGATATGTGTATATACATATATGTACATATATATATATATGTATATATATATGGTACTATATACACTACATATACTATACATGTACTGAATATGCTTTACATACTCTCTCTCGCTATATATATATATATATGTATATATGTATGTATAATGCTAAACAAACAAAGGCTTAGAGGCTTAGAGCTCAAAACTTCAACTACCATAACATTATGACTTAACGAACCCTATCCAACCAAAAACTCCTGATCTAACCACATTAAACGCACAAAATACTTAACATACATTACATCCACCATAAATATACAATAAAATTTACATTTTTAAAGTCTTAAATAAAATAAAATACCGACCATTCGACCTTGACGGGCTGAACACTCACAGTTAGGAGGTGTTGGCAAGCTACAACTGTACAACACATCACCTTCATTACTCAGAGCCTGTTAAATATGAGAGCCCATAGCAGCACGAAGGCACCTAAAAAACACACACTATTTCACTATTTCAGTTGGTTTAGGCTTACTAGAGACTGGTCCCTTAACCATATCCAGTCAAGGAGTCAAGGTGCACGGGGCTGCTGGCAGAGGTGTCAGAGCTTTCGGTCCTGAGAGGGCATATGTAGAAACAAGAACACAAAGTGAGTATCATGATTCCTGCAAAATACAAGACCCCCCATCTCTGCTATCTCGAAAGACTGATTCCTAAGCAGTCAATCGCTGAGCAGCTCTGATGTGAGAGGATCTGCGAAGTGCACGGCCTTTTCTTCGAAGCTGGCAACCTGCAGCAACAGGGAGCCGCTGACCAAGATGTGTAAACATTGCACTATAAAAGCTTACAAGTGGACACATACGTCGGAATGTATAAGCTTAAATCTTTTCCCGAAAGAGACTTCATCCAGGCTAACCTCGGGGCTGTAGCATTGCCGGCGGGCTACGTGTAAGTCGCCCCTCCAGACATTCATTCCATAACATAGCTTTCTGCACCAAGGCGCTTGTAGTGCGGCAGCTTTCTGACGATCATGCCGCCACTGTACACGAGTGGCACCATGGCGCATGGCCTGATTTACAAGCCACAAGGTATGACTAGAAATAGTAGTGATAGGAATAAGAATAGATACAGTAACAATAATCGTTATAGTAATAGCACCAGTAAAAGTAAACAATAAAGTGTAAGCGCGAGAGTAAGAGTCATAGTAGTCTCATGCGTTTCCGTTTCGGCAGAAGCTGTCGATCGGCTAGGATCGAATCTCAGGGAACAAGTGCGACAACTAGAACACGTCCCGATGAAAGCTGACCCTGCGCACCGTAACATACGGCCAAAACGCGAACCATGTCCCAGTGCAGATGCCACAGGCCGCGTGCGCTTCCAACGAAAACTCAGAAACCTGGCATTTGCTGCCGAATCCGGGAGTGGCACTTTTGGCATTGAGGGAGTCCGACAATGCATCACCGGCGGTCTGCCACGGAACAGGATAGATTGAAATGCTGAGGCAGGCTCCATGCACGAACATCGACAGCACACTGCCCGATCGAACAGTAACTTACCCAGGGCAACTCACAAATAAGTCTGCCTACAATGTTTATGACTTACTAACAACCAACTTAGGTAAAAACAAGTGGGTGAAATCAAGATGGATATGATCTCTCTTGTGTGTGAGGTCTTCTGCATGTAGGGCGCTATTCCTCACAACTACAAGAACACGGCCTGGGCTCCGGAAAAGCAGGCAATTGATGCCACTGCTGCCGCAGGAGCTCCTGTGGTCCGGGACCAGAATAACATGGTCAGATGTGTGAAGGTAAACAGAGATATAATGCGTATATGCATGTTTATGTACATATCTAGCTATATATATATATGTATATATATATATGCCTACATATTACATACATATATATATACATACACACATACATGCACTAAGAGTATGTTTATGTATGTGTATTTGCAAGTACGAGTATATGGACATGCACACATTTTCACGCTGTACATGCAGAAACACATACGGCGTCTGTCTACTTTCCACGGATGCACTAAAGCCGTTGTGCTTGCACGTGCACTTACATGCTTGAACTAAAGCCGTTGTGCTTGCACGTGCACTTACATGCTTGAGAGTTGGGGGTTTGGGGGGGGGGGGGCGGGTTGGCTGGGATGAAAGCATATGAAAGCATTCTGCAGCCTGAAAAGGACTTGGAGGCTCATTGCCGACCCTAAATCCTAAACCCTAAACCCTCCCGACCCTGCTGAAGTTGAGTCCTGGGTCTTGATCAACGCGTGGCGACGACGACGCCGATTGCCTGGGAAGGGCAGTGGCACTAAGTTCGCTGAAGAGAAGATAGAGGTAGCTGCTATGCTAAGCACAAGATAAGTTATAAGTGTAACAGCAGGGCTTTCCACCGGCCCCCAAAACCCGAAAGAAGCACGACTCGCAAGTGAACAACTGTCATGTCCCCACCCAAACCCAAACTTGGCTCGACAACATCACACCACTCCCACAAGGCCTTCTTCCTGCTACCCCTTTTTCTGCGTGAGCGGCTTGGGCCTTAGAGAGCTGGCTCAGCACCAACGCCACCGAGACGTGATGACACCACCAGCAGATACCATCATCCCCCGATCTCTGGGTATCTTGTATTCATCTGTCGCACATTTGCAAGCAACCAAGCCGTGCACACGAGCCTGTCGCCAGGCCGAAGTACTCTAGCTCGCAAACCTTGCCGTGATGGATCTTGACCTTAGGGCTGTTTCTTACGAGGCTTGCCGACGGCTTTCAAGCTTGGATATGGAGGGTAGGGTTTAGGATTTCTGGGCGGAATTGCTCACTGGCAGATCCTCAGAAGCTTCAATGGCTTTAGCCTTCGAGTACCTTTGGCATCGGCTCGTTTGCGCAACAGCTTTTGTTCGACTATCTAATAAAATACTGCCAATAATAGAGAAGAAGAGCAATAATACCGGGTAACACTGCAATAATAATGAAATTATGACACGGATAAAGACACGAAAAAGGATAAGACTACAGATGCAAACCATAATACAACTAAGAGTAAGAGTGATAATAACTATATGGCCATGAGCAACAACAATAACATGAATGACAAGAAGAAGACTAACATGACCAAGGAAGATCGTTCACTTAGCAAAACAACACTAGCTCTGCGGATTTTTTCTCGCGCTGGACCCTTTATTCTGAACAGCAAACTTCCGGCTCTTTCTGCCATCGCTAGGTTTACTGATGCCGTTACACCTTGTTGCTGTATGGAGCTCTATGAACACCTGAACATGTGTGTGTATATAAATATAAATATAAAGATAAATATAAATATATATATATGTGCATATACACACAATCATATGTGTGACCATATCTCTTTACTTCTTGGCTCGCCTACTCAGCGGTTGAGGTGTAAATTCGTGTGTTTGCAACTTATTGGTCTTGTGAGTATTGTTACTGCTATGGCCATCACTCGTATCATTGCTGCCATTCCTAACTACTTATTATTGCCAAGCAGCTACTACCGTCCGTACTACCTTATACCTTCATGTTTCACCCAACACCCGTGAGCCAAGACCCAGAATTCCGAACCGCAAACCCTTAACCGCAAACCGAAAATCTTGAATCCAATCACCCTACAGACATGATCCCCAACCTCAACCCAAAACCCTGAAATCCTAACTGAGTCGTATTTGCACCCTATACATCTTACCCAACAAAGGCTAAACTGCCTAGTTCGGAGGCGAGATGCGACCTCGGCCTGCACCCAGTCGCCAGAGGATCGATGGTAGAAAACCTTCTGTCCCACCTCCCGGGATGGAGGGCGAGGGGCAGAGGGGCAGGGGGGGGGAGAGGGCGAGTGTTTAGAGTGTTTAGGGTTTGTCTACAGGGTTGACGGAGCTCTGGTGTTTCGGGATAGACGCTTTCATTGAAAAGGTTGGGATTTTTAGGGGCTTGCGGACAGCAGGCTTGAGGCCGCTGTCCCTGTGCGGATGTCATGTCTCAAAGGGTCAGAGAATGGGTATCAGGGGCGTGTTCTAAAAGGAGGGCCACTTAACGGTACCTGTTATCTATCGCTGTGTATCTCAGTCTTGACACACGGGCCCTGAGCGAGACCATGACTTGCAACAAGCCGTAGGATGCCACGTGTTACGGTTTAGAGCTTAGGGTCCTTAGGGTCTGGGGAAGTGCAGGATTTTAGGGTTCAGGGCTCAGCGGTTCGAGGGTGTAGGGTCGCATCTCTTAGCTTGTAGCGGCATTGTAGCGGCTGTGGGCCTCGAAGTGCATGCCGTAAGCTGGCATGGCGCGCAGGGATTCTACGAAAGCAGGGATAGTATGATACTGAAACCTCTGCCAGGAACAACACATGCTAAAATCCTCAACCCTACACCATAAGAAGATCTTCGATCATGAGCCCTCAGTAACACAGATGATTCAGCACTGAATTTCCGACCGACGAAGAGCATCATGACTGAGCCATTAAAACTCAGCGATGCGGCATGGGTTTCGGGTAGATAGAATTATGAGTTGTGAGTCTGCAAGGTTTGTCAGGCTTTTCCTAAACCCTGAACCCTATAAAATAAGCCTCAACTCCACACCCATTATGCCATACCCTAAACCCTACGCTCTCAGACCCAAACCCGGTACCATAAATCCTAAACCGGTCTTACACGTTTACAGGTCGGGTTGACCTCCCTTAACCCTACAACCCTTAAACCCTAAAACCCTAAACCCGAAGACCTTAAATCCTAAAACCCTAGAACTCTCAAACCCTAAACCCGAAGACCTTGAATCCTAAAACCCTATAACCCTAAAAACACCCTAAGTTTCCCTCAACCGGGGTCAAAGGGCGAGGAGTTCAACAAGAAAGCTCTAGAGTCGGGCTCTGGGTTTTCAGGCTTACTAGCTCATGCTTGGGGTTGGGTTTACGGTTTGGGGTTTAGGGGTTTCAATTCCTGAGGTAGTTTTCTTGTAAACTGTTACCCAACTATGACGGAGCTTAGAGTTCAGGGTTCAAGGCTGAGGGTTTAAAAAACTTGTCGGGCTTAAGTTCTAGGGTTTAGGGTATAAGGCTTACAAGGGCTTAGGCTGTATAAGGCTGAACAAGTAGGGTTGGGGGTTTGGGGCTCAAGCATGAGGAACCCCTGATGTAAAGAAACCCGAGATTACAAAATAAGTGCCTTCCTCTTCTGGAACCTGCAACATTTCTCTCGTGCTGCGCGCATTTATCGCTTCCAAGCTAGGATATGTAGCGAGGTGGTTGCGGACTGCAGACTTTGCGCCGTTAAGGGCAAAGTCCTCCATATGCTTCATCTTCTGATACCCAGCGATGATTGATTGCTCAGGCCTGCTTGCCAAACTCCTGTCTGCCGTCGCCAAGGTCAACCACACCCCTCCGTCGACTGCTGCCCGTGCCATTTGCAGTCGAGCAAACACGCTCAAGATGGACCAGCGACGAGCTCAAAGAAAGCCTTGGGCTCGACCCAAAAAAGCTAGAATCTTGATTTTACGAGTGTGACGGAGCTCTCCTTCACATACTCTTCGTGACCGTCTGAGAAGCGCACTGTCACTTTTGTATAGTCCCGCTCGTGGAAGTGAAGCTGGATAAGGCCCAGTCGGCCGTGGTAGGGAGACGACTTGTGGTTCAAGCGTACGCGCTGGCCCACCAGCAAGCGCCGGGATGTGCTCGCCGATGTTTTGAACAGAGCTTCGCCTATCTTTCGGAGACAGGGTGGCTCATACCACAGCTGAAAGCCTCCATCAAAGCAAACTCGAATTCCATTGGTTGGGTGCAAGAGGTCCACGACACCAAATTGGTTGCAAAAGTCGTCCATATATCCAAAATAGTCATCCCGGTTCGCAGCATCAAATCCAGCCATGACGACTCTCTTCTCCCGCACTTGCACAATGCAGTCAAGCTCAAATGGCTCCAGGGAAAGCGAGTCTGGGATCGATCCACCGCCAAAGAAAGAGCCGGTCTGCTCCAGGAACTCTGGGCGAAGCAGTTCCTCTTCCTGCCCTGCATATCGCACCAGAACTTTGTCGTCTGATGGCTGGTGCCGCAGGAAGACGGTTCCTACTTTCCCCTGCCATTCCGAATGTTCCGAGACCCCATTGACACGAACCTTCTGCCCGGAGAAAAATCGCACATCGGTCATGCCATCTCGTGGTGGTGGCACACCTACATGATTTAGGCAAATGGGCTCCAGCCACCGAATTGGCTCCACTTCCTCGGAGGAACCAGGACACAGCTTTACACCAATACCGTTCGTGGCATGCCTGCGCACAACCACGCCAACCTGCCCTTCGAGGTCCTTGGTCTCGAGTTCTGTGAGGTCCAGCCTGTTTGCAACTTCGAAAGCTCGGAGCAAGTCAATTGCAGGTTTGATTCGTACTTTAGAGCCGAGCGGAAATCTTGACAAACTCACAGGGAGCGACAATGTCAATGAGTCTGCCTGGCGATTCGTGGCCCCGAATCTCAGGATTTCACGCGGGAGGCAGTAGCACGACAAAACGTGCAACTGCAGTTCAATACCAAGTATGTCAAGCATCGCCCCGTGGCTTGCGGAAATCATAGCCTTTCTGGCAAGCAGTTTAAAGCACCGTAGGGCGACAGGTCCGTTAGTTCCTGGGATACCGTTATAAGTTGAACCACTTGACATCCCTATGGCCTTATGCTACACATGAAGTGCAAAAGGATGCTCTTTAAGAAGAGAGCCTGAAAACACAGTGTGCACGGTTCTATCGACTTCAGGTCCTGAGAGAAGAGGCCACGGCATGGAAGCTGAATGCAAGCTTGCGGTGAGTTAAACCAGAACTAACTGGGGAAGCTCGGACCCGACTCATCGTTTACACAAGGTTGCTTCTAGGGGACGGACGACATCGTGTCCTTTGGCAGCTTGCCTGTTACCCATCATGGGGACTTTGGTTGCCTCGGCGCCCTCCGACGTTCCTGAGCAAAAACTAGCCAAGTCCGGAAGTTGTGTTCGTCCTGGGAGTGGTGGTGGATGTGGTTGTGGCTGCGGTGGTGGTAGTGGTTCGTTTAGAAGTGGTAGTGCTAGCGGCTGCTTTCGTGGCAGTGGTAATGGTAGTGTGGTGGTGCCGGCAGTCGTCGTCGTTGTCGTCGAGGTGGAAGCGGCATAGCAGCAGCAGCAGCAGCAGCAGCAGCAGCAGCAGCAGCAGGAGCAGGAGCAGGAGCAGGAGCAGGAGCAGGAACAAAAGCAGCAGCAGTAACAGTAGCATGAACAGTAGACGACATAGCAGTAGCAGCGGTAGTGGCCGTCGTCGTCGTCGCGGTGGTGGCAGTGGTAGTAGCAGTGGTGGTGGTGGTGGTGGTGGTGGTGAAACAGTAGTGGTCGTCGTCGTAGTCGTCGTCGTCGCAGGAGCAGCAGCCGCAGCAGTGAAACCCAAGAAAACAACGCGCCGAACAGTTCTGCTATTGATGCGACCCTGTTTACTTGTGCCGGCTAGCAGAGAGCTTCATTCAGGTTGAACATAGGGCGCGGGATTGGAAAAGCCAGGATAGGCGCATCTGCTTTAGACTTGAAAGCCAAGCTATGACTATGACGGCATCACCACGACTGGCAGATGACAGGCTTGAGGCCCTTCCCTAGAGGGTGGTGTAAAGCTGAAGAAGTGGCCAGCCTTGACCAGATGCCACTAAAGACTTTGTACATGGCCCCATACACAGTCGCCCAACACCGTCGCGACGCCACGGTTTCTTTTGCCACAATCATGCAAGTATGAGTCATGACCCCTGTGCATAGCTTCGAGTGCTTGGCATACTCCATCAAACCATAACGGCTCCTGAAATAAAATAGTTAGAATGCGGCTTTTGGGTATATTATACTGTAACGATAATAAGGAAGTTCTGAAATAGTATTGGTAATTATTCAGGCTCCTGAAGTACAAGAACCTTCGATCGACTGGCATGGGGCACTTGCATTTCCAGGGACCCTCGGATGGGACCAGGGCCCTCGCATGCACCGCACAGACTAGGAATCTACACATCTTAGGGTTTAGGGCTTAGGGTTCGGAGTTTAGGTGAGGCATGTGTATATGTACATAAAAACTATAAATAAATAGATAAATAAACAATAAATAACTACATATAGTTGAACAAACATATATATACATATATATATATATAGGCTTGGGCGGTTTGTGGGTGTTGGAGACAGCTTAGGGTCGATTTGAGGTGCCCCAAACTAGACTTCGTGGACCGGACGGTTCAGGATTCAATGAAGCAATCTGCGATGCCTTTAGTTTTTCTAAACCCCTAAACCCTGATATAGAAGCCTATAGATAATTACCAATATTATTCCTACGGGCTCCTTAATAGAATTATACTATAAAGAGGCCCAAAACCCT